CCTGCACACCCCCATTCTGCCCCCACCCACACATTTTTTCCACACCCTCCTGCCCTGAGCCCCAAGACTTTCAGCTTGTGAATGACCAGTCTGCTATCCTGTTCACCCCAGGGGCTGCGTAGGTTAGGGGAAGCTGCAGCGTAATGGGCTTGGGACGGAGGTCGGTAAGGGGTTCAGTGGGGCAGAGTGAGACATTTCGTAATGGACAGGGTGGGGTTGTGCTGGTGGTGAGATGACAGAGAATTGAAGAGCCGTCACTATGGCGTGTGACCTGGTTGTTGCTTTTCAGAGAGCTCAGGGTGAATGCTGATTTTTCTGTGCTGAGGGGGTGGTGGGCAGTTCGCTTTTGTATCTGAAGCAGGTTGACCAGAGCCAGATGAAAGCCACAGTCTGCTCTGTGTGAGTGATTCAGCTGCAAACAGACTGAGCACTGTGTACTTTGCCCAGTCACATAATACGTACCATGTGAAATGGTGCTTTGTTTAGTCTGTTGCCAAGCATTGAGGACTGAAAAATGAGAGAATGTCCTGGATTTGAAACAGTGTGAGATATTGGATCAGAATGTGAATCTTCACTCAATCATTCTCACTGCACAATTTCTGAACTACAAGTTTGGACCGTCACTGTACAGCAGACTAAACTCAACAGAGCAGCAATCACCTTGGGTCAGTCCTAAGAGAGTGTCATGCGCACACTGCCTAATCTTGTCCACAAATACTGCCGTGGATCGGGGGAATAAGTGGGCAGTGAACAGTGATCAGGACTCCTCAATCACCCAACGATCTGAGATTGCTTGAACTGAGTAAACAGGATGAAGCCTGCTGATTGGAGTGGTGTGTTCTAGTCTGTGTCATAGAACATAGAACTTTACAGCACAGTACAGGCCCTTCGGCCCTCAATGTTGCGCCGACCTGTGAAACTAATCTGAAGCCCATCTAACCTAAACTATTCCATTATCATCCATACGTTTATCCAATGACCATTTAAATGCCCTTAATGTTGGCGAGTCTACTACTTTTGCAGGCAGGGCATTCCACGCCCTTATTACTCTCTGAGTAAAGTGTCTGACCATACAGTAGCAGTTTGGTGATCCAAATTCTTGAGTGTACAACGGCTCAGTCAGACAGGGGAGTGGGAAGGGAAAGCTGGTGTCTCCCTGACTGATGGGGAATGTTATTTGTTTTTAATTGCAGGAGCAAGGATATTCTTCCTACGAGATGAGTGACCGGCTGATGGGGGTGAAGTTACTGCCTGGTAAGGACACGGCATCCCAGTGAAAGGGTAGTCACAGCTGTAGGGGCCACTTGCTGCTGTCTCTGGCTGCAGTTTAAGGAACAGTTGGAACAGTCCACACCTCAAACTTGGCAGGAGATTTGAGCTTTCAGAAGTGGGGCAGGGGAGGGGGGAATGGGGAATGGGGGCGAGAGAGAGAGAGAGAGAGAGAGACATGTTGTCCAACGGTTCCCATTGGACTGAGTTGCAGCTCAAGTCTTGAGTTTCTGTTTGTGGTCTGGGCACTCAATGACTGACTCTCTATCTCACACTCCTCTGTCTCGGAGGAAAAGTTCATGGGTCAGTTAGCCAGTGGCCCAGTATGTCCGGTTGCAACTGTGATCTGCCCCCTTCGTGCCGGGCTCTGGTTGGTCTCGTTCCAATCCCTTGGTGCCGTAGAGTTCAATATTGTCAGTTTTCAGACTGCCCCTCCCTGTTAACCAGAGTTAATATTATCATCAAATGTTCCAGAGTCCTACCCTAATCTATCTTTATACTGTCTCAGAATTCTGTGTCAAACCCAATTCCTGTCTTGAAAGTCAGAGTGTCTATAAATATCTGGAGTGTGACGTTAGCAAGTACCACAGAGCTGCTCATCCTGTTACTGTACAGAGAGTTCAGTCTTTATCAGTTTTAATTTATACACTCTACGGTGTGACTGGGGCCTGGGTGAACGATAGCATTGGCCAAAACATGTTTCAAAGTTCAAAAACAAAGTTGCTGGAAAAGCCCAGCAGGTCTGGCAGCATCTGTGAAGCCAAAAACAGTTAACGTTTCGGGCCCGGTGACCCTTCCTCAGAACTCCGGACCCGAAACGTGAACTGCAGGGCTTTTCCAGCAACTTTGTTTTTGTTCCTGATTTGCAGTTCTTTCGGTTTTTATTTATGTCTCAAAGTTCCTTGTAATTTGTTTGGAAGACGTCCAATTAACTCATTAACAGGGGCAGAAATGACTGTTGCTCTGCCTAGAATTGCAAGAATAGGTTTTTCAGCTACAACGCAGATTTAACATGCAATCAATGCAGATCGTGCCAGTGCAGCGCCGAGGGAGCGCTGCGCTGTCGGAGGGTCAGCACCGAGGGACATTGTGTCGCTTACCTTATCAGTTAGGTTAATCTGCACGTGCAGGTAACTTGGTTGTTTGTCTTTCAGGGGAAAAGGTCCGAGGTGAAGCAACGAGCATAAGAAAATATACGTCTTATAAACAAGTACGGAAATCAATCACAGGGAAGGTACTGTGCACAAATTTCCGAGTGGCCTTTGTCCCTGTGGAGACTGGAATGCTCCAGGTATGGAACCCTGTCCTAATCTGTCAGGAAATTGTCCATCCTCTCCCATGTTAGTTCCTCACAGTCTCTCATTAACACCCTGGGGCTGTGCTCAATTATATAAAGGTTCACTGCACTGTCGGAGGGTCAGCGCTGAGGTAGCGCCGCGCAGTTGGAGGGTCAGCGCTGAGGGACGCTTAGTAAAAAAAACATTTTCTGCCAGTTAGCAAATTGCTATTTGTGGGATCTTGCAGTGCCAGTGGGTGTTTCTGTGCTTCCCACAGTTAAATGGGTTACACTTGGTTAGTAATTCTCTGGCTTTGCATGCCCTGCTGTTTGCCGTTTGGGTTTGAATATGTGACCCTGAGGCTTTCTGTGGTCAGTGGGCCAGCTCTCAATGACACAGGAGCCATCCAGCCCAGAGAGTGGGTGATTCAGACCAGTCTGGAGAGTGTGTGCCTGGGCTGGGAGTACAGGGCAATGTTTTCCCTCTGTCTCTGCTGTGACCCTATCATTAATGACGCTCCTTGCCTTCCCCTGCAGGTCCCTGCTGATCAGAGACAGTTCCTTGGACCTGATGATGTTGCCTTGTCATCCATTGAGCGGGTGGTAGCTGGTGAGTTGGGTTCTGACTATTCACTCAGTTTTGAGAGAGTGTGTATGTGCGTGTGTGGTCTGTGTATGTAAGTAGATGCATGTGTGTACGTGCATGTGTCCAACAATCGGGGGAATTGAGTATCCTGGAAGAAGGGTCTTCTGCCCACTGAACCTGTGCGTGATCGTGAACTGATGTGGCATCACAGCAATTGCAGCCCCTCCAGAATGAGCTGAAGGGACGGTGGGATCCTGAGTGAAACACAGCTACCATAATCCAGCAGCATGGGGGGGTCAGCCACCCTGCGGCCCCAGCTGAGAAGGGGAGGAGTTTGGCTGTGCTTCGATTCCCTTCCGATCCCAGGCTGAGATCCTGCCAGTGATTGGTCTCCTGGCCCATGGTCAGCCTTCTCCCTGATCTAACCAAACAGAGAGTTCACCTGGGATGGGGGCTTACAAGCCGGGTTTTCTATTGCAATGGCCTGGAACCACGTCCTCCCCCTGCTCAGAGCCCCATGTCCCTGCCTGTGCCCCACAGTCCCTGTACACCCCTCGCTCATAAGGAGCAGGATAGGCCATCTGGCCCATCGAGCCTGCTCCGCCATTCAATAAGATCATGGTTGATCTTTTCGTGACTCAGCTCCACTTACCCACCCACTCACCACAACTCTTCATTCCTTTTCTTTCAAAAATCTACCTTAAAAACATTCAACTTGGTACTCTCAATGGTTTCACTCGGTAGGGAATTCCACAGATTCACAACCCTTTAGGTGAAGAAGTTCCTCCTCAACTTAGTCCTAAATCTTATTTTGAGGCTACGCCCCTTGCCCCTACTGGCATTCCCTCTGTACCACTGTCTGATGCCCTGTGTCCAGTGGCCTTAGCTGGTGGCCTCTGTACTGTCCTATCCAGCTCCATTTTACCCCTGCCCTGTGCCCTGAAACCCTGATCAGTTCTCTGTCCCCTTCTCCGCCAGCTCGATGACCTCTGTACCTCTTCCCAGTTCTCTCTGCACCCACGCAACACTTCTGCTCTATACCCCTCATTCCAGCTTGGTTCTCCTGGGTCAGCATCATATTACACATTCCTAATTGCCCTTGAACTGAGTGACATGCTCAGATGTTTGAGTGCAGTTGAGATGTAACGCCATCATTGTGGGGCTAGGGAGCAATGTCAGTTTTCCTTTCCCGAAGGGCTTAGGATGGGATTTTCCTGAGAGATTCCTGCTGGTTGGTCCCCTCTCAGGTGGAGCTGTGGGAATACTGTTCAGTTTCACTGAGGCTCCTGGGAAGTTGCTTGGGCTTGCTTCAGAGAACAGGAGCATTTTGGCTTGTTAGTGCGTGCACTGGACAGATGGCTGCTCACGCCACCAGGCACTGACCCCGTGAATGTTTTGTATTTTGCAGTGAACAGTTCCCGAAACAAACTTCTGTTGTCCACCTCGAGTCCAAAACTCCATCCACAAGAGCTCCTGATTTACTGCAAGGATTTCCGCCTCTTGCACTTTCAGTTTGAACATGAGGCTCGTACTGACGAGGTACACTTCACTCTTTGTGTTTCTGTCCGTTCCCTCACCTCAGCCAGCCCCCAAGGATCCTGCAGCACCTCCCCTTTCAACATTGCAGCCCAGGAATACCCTCCTTCACCCTGATCCTCTGTCACAGGGCCCACACTGAA